AGTAAGGAGAAGGAGGAGAGCAAAGAGGAGAAAGAGAAAAAGAAAAAGAAAAAGAAGAGCAAGGAGAAAAGCAGTGAGATAGATGAACTTGAGGCTTTTCTTGGCGGAGGAGGAGCCAGCATGAGCAAGCCACGGGGCGGGGGGGACTATGAGGAGCTGTAGGCTGGCTGTAAACTCTGCACCGTGGCTGTCTCCATCTTCTCTGACGAGTCACCCCAGGACAGGCACAGATGTGTAAAGCTTTGACCATTTAATGTATATTCTCTCAAACCAGAGTGAGCAAAACAAAAGCTTTACATCTGTGTTTTCTAGCCTGGTGCATCGTTACACAAAGCAAACGCAGCTGAGATGTACGTGAACCAGAGGAAGGTTCAGGGTACGGCTTTCAAGCTGTCGGCTTTTCTCCTTCCAGAGATGCCCTGTCGAGTCACTGGCAGGGTGTGGGGGTGAGGGGACCTGCCTCCTGCTCCATCCCTGCTGCATTCCACTCCTGCACACTTGAAATTCCTGTCTTGTTAAGAGGAGTACAAAAACATGCCGCATGAACGCATCGTGCTTGACTGTCTCAAGTCTTTAACTTCTTATCCTTCCTATTTTTTTAAGGAGAAAGGTGATATTGGCCATAGCTTCACCCAGCAGTTGATGAGCTTTAAGTCAAGCAGATCATCTATGGTACAGCTCTCTAAAGTAGCAGGCGCAGAGCCAGTGTGAAAGAGAGTGTGTGTGATTTTTGGAGCCCTTTGAACGGGACCTTTCTGCACAGCAGCTTAATTAGCCCTCACTGGTGCTGCTGTTGGAATTCATGAAGCCCATTGATTTCCGTGGCCCCAGTGTCTCAGACACTACGTGTAAGCTGCTATGCAGTTTGGGAAAACAATGCAAAGTGGAAAGCTAACCTGAAAGAGAGAGAAAAATCAGTGCTTTTCTGCACTTCCCACTCTTAAATTTGCATATTCCAGAATCCCCTCCCGCCGGGACCTCTCAGGGACATGACTCCGTATGGAAATGAAGATATCCAGAGCTTCAGAATTGGCTACAGGGCAGTGTTGGCATGGCAAGGCATTTGCTTCTCAGGCATTTTACAGTCAGGCTGTAAAGCCCCAGCTGCCGCTCTGCACCGAGAGGGACCAGCACTGCAGCTCAGCAGCGTCCGTCCTGCTCCAGCTTCTGTCCATACTGCAGCCAGCCAGCGGGCTGCCTTTCCTGCCCCAAGCAGAGCCCGCTCTGCCCTGTGTTCGGGAAGCCTTTTAGTTTTTGCTTTGAACTTAAACCTGTGGATTGGTACCCGCTCAGCACCCACTGGATGGGCACTACGGCCACCCGCGGTGCTCGCCTGTGCCTCAGTGAGCAGCCTCTGTGTTTGATGGAGTGGTCAGTTCTCTGTGCTCCTCCTGATTTGGTTCTGGGGTCCCTTGCTCAGCTCAGACGGTGAAGCTCCCTCCAGGTTCTGTGCATTACATTTCCCTCTTGCTTGTAAGTTGATTTGAGGTTTGGTTTTGTTCTCCCTCTCCCCTTTTTGTTGTAAAATGTCAACCATGAAATCCAAACTGGACTTTCCTTCTGTGTCCCTATCAAGCAATGTGTTCTTTTGATCCGTTATCCACTCCAGAGCTGTCTTGACCAGCAGGCATTCTACTGCTCCATTTTTCTTTTTCTTGCCCACAAAATGCACTTGTAACCATTTCCCTATAAAACAAACTGGTTTTTTGCTGCATGAGCAGTGTATCGTTCAGGTCTGTTTGCCATTAGCATTTGCCTCCTCTGAGCATTCCACGTGACACTGTAGGGAAATTGCATGGGTCTGTTCAAACTGCACATCTGGGGAGGAAAAGGAAGATTGGGACAGGACCGGTTTGCAGCATGAAGGCAGGTGGGCACTTGAGCCTCAGCTGCTGCAGTCCTGAAAGCACTTCTGTTCCACCAGGATTTTGGGTCATGTTCCATTTCTGCATCGAAAAACCCTGGTACAGTCCATTCTGACTATAAAGCTCTGTTGTACACCTGCCTCTGCACATCTTCTTCTCCCTCAGAGTGCTCCTGCCCGGGCTCAGGAGCTGTGTGTCCCTCCACACCCTGTCACAGAGGGGTGTCTCCCTGCCCCTCCCCAGGCTGCTGTTCCCAACCTTACAGGATGAGGCATGGAATTAAAAAATGAGTCCAAAAAAAGGAGCTGAATGTAAAAACCATGAGCTCTTTCCCCAAAACTGAAGTCTGCCCTGAGGGAGCTGTCGCTTTCCCCAGTGTGGAAGGGTCAGTGGTTTTGGTCAGATGTGGTTAGCAGGGGGCTGTACTGGTACCCCATCCCTCCTAACACGAGCTCTCCTCAGTTTGTCTGGCACCTGGGCCAGGTTTGCCACTGTAGGAGCCTTCACACTCCCTGTGGCTTGTCAGCACAAGGAGCTGTGGTGAAAACAAGCAAAGATTAGTCATTTTGTTCTAAAATACTCCCGTAAAGAGGAAAAGCAGATGTGGGAGCTGGCTCTGCTTACACTAGAGCCTCAGGAGGGCATGTGGCATGGTTTGACTTTTGCAGCGAGACCAGAGAAATCCTACCCTGTGGGTGAAGCAGGAGTGTGGAAGGGAATAGCAGCAAGAAGGCACTTTTTATAATACACACAAAATCACAGACTGATTTGGGTTGGAAGGGACCTTAAAGTTCATCTTGTTCCATCCCCCTGCCATGGGCAGGGACAGCTTTCACTAGACTATGTTGCTCCAAGCCCTGTCCAACCTGGTCTTTTTAGACTTAAGCTTCTCCCTTTTCCAGGGGATGCTGAACTGGTTCGGGCTACAGCGTGAGGTGTGATCCAGAGCCAGCAAGTGTGAGGGAGGGGAGAAGGAAACAGGCCTTGTCTGAGCCAGGCTCTCCCATGCCCAGCCTTTCAAAGAAGCTAAATATAAAAAGTATGTGTACGTGCCTGTCATTAGGGGGAAGCTTCTGCAGGATCACATTGATATAAATAGTTCCTCTGAGCATCTCTAGAGGTACCAGGGTATTTGCTTTTGGGTTTTATCAGTCATCCAAAAAAAAATCAACAGCTTGAGGCTAAGGAGCTGCAGTTTCTTGAAGCTAACACTGGCCAGGGCTGCAGCATTACTGCTCCCTGGGTTTGGAGCAGTAGGAGGGAGAAGAGCAAATTGATTGCTGCAATTCAGCTGGGGCTGGTTCCTCGGCACAGCACAAGGAGCCTCGTCCATGGGGGACAGGGCACTGCCTTCTCCCCTGCCTGGCTGTGATCCACGGGACCCTCGGCCACCATCCGACTGCATCTTGGCTTCTGCTGTGCCAGCTGGGAGCCAGGCTACTCGAGATAAGCCAGGAGAGTAACTCCATGGGTGCCTGCTCCCACCCACTGTGTCCTTCCAGCCATGATGGCTCAGGTGCTGCCCCAGACTCTGTGGGGTGTTTATTTCGGGAGTGTTCCTTGCTGTACCCACCCCTGGAGTGGGACAACCCAGTGTGACAGTTCACAGCTCCCATCACTCCCGGTGTGTGACAATGCAGCTGCTGTGGTGGGACATGGTGCAGTCAGAGTCCTGACTGACATTCTGATCTTAGCAGGCTTCACCTGGCTGCCTGGCAGCCCTGTGGCTCCTCAGCTGGGAGCTGGTTCTGGGGAGACCTTCCAGCTGCCCCGGAGTGACCTGACTCCTCTGTGCTGTACCTGTTCTCCCCAGGGATTCCTCCTGTGTGCACAACATTTCCCTCCTGATTTCCCTCCCTGCCTGCTAAAAAAGCTCTTTCTTATGTTGATCTGTGTTAGTGGCTGTCACAAAACTCATCCCTGCAGGAGGTCCAAGCTGCTGAGCCGTGTGCCCCAGCCCTGCAGGGCCTGTGCCGAAGGGACCATGGCTCTGATGCCTGGCCTGTGGCTGCCTCTTTTCCCTGTCAAACACCATGTAGGGAACAAGCACCAGGACAGGCTGATGGGCCCCTGCAGCCCCCACTGCCGCCACTCCAGCTCAGTTTTTGGCATCCCTGGATTTCACCAACCATGGCAGGAGGTTGGAACCAGCTGATCTCTAGGGATTCTTCCAACCCAAGGCACTCCATGATTCTATAATCCCTGTGGAAAGTTGTCCATCACCTTCTGCCTTGGGGCTTGAGAGCTGTCTGATCATTGCCATCCAGATTTATTCCTGGACAATTTATGCTGATTTGTTCCTTTGATAGAACTGTTGTTTAAGTGCTGCTCCCTCTTCCCAGCCCTTTGCCAAAGGGGCTCTGTCCCTGCTCTGCCATTTTCCTGTGGGCCAGTCCATCCCCCAGCTGTGCCCATTGGCACCAATTCCCCTCAGAGAATTTCTGTGGCTGTGCCAGTCCAGCTGAGGTCATACCAGAGCTGGTTCTTAACGATTCCTATACAGTCCCTCTCCTGCTGACCCTGGGATGGGACTGGCCTTTTCCACAGCTGTATCCTGGCTCACCAGTGCACATGGCCTCTATCATTCTCCATAGTTAATGCCAAGGGCCACGTGCAAGGAGTGCCCCAATGCTGCCCTTTGGGGGATACAGCTTCACCCTATTTCTGTTGCTCCCATAAGGTTATAACAAGGTTTTTTCCTGGCTTGCCAAGGCCCCAGGGTGTGAATTTGCTTCCTTCCCCCCAGCAGTGAACATGAAAAGGTCATTGGAACTCGGGTTTTAGCAGGACACAAAATGAATGTGTGAGGCTGTGGGTGCTCTTGGAGGCTCAGGGGGGCTGTGGTGCTGGAGATAAACCTGGCTGCCCCCAGGCCTGGTGCAGAATGGACTTGGGCAGGGCCTGGCCTGGGGGCACAGTGGGTTTGCTGCCTGCAGCGTCCCTGCATCCAAGGGTTCAGCTGGTTGGAGAGCCTGGGGTGCTTGCCTGTCCTTTGGGATGCCCCGAGCAGCCAGATGAGTGATGCTGGGGAAATCCCGCAGTAGGACGGGCTTAGGGACCGGGGCCGTAGCCTAGCAACAGCCTCAATCATGGCATAATATAATTAATCCAGCACTGGTTCAGTCTGCTGCGTAAAGATACCAGAGCAAGTGGCTGAGCCTTTTTTAACTTGTAGGTTTGCCTCCAAAACCAGCCTGCAGTGTCTCAAGCATGTCCGGAGTGTTCCTGGCCTGAAGGTGCTCCTCGGTGAGTATCCAGACTTCCTCTTCCAACCCCTTGGCTGGGAAGTTGCTGAGTAAAGGGGATTATCCTCTGGCACCTTCAGTGAGCTATCGTGGGCAATCCCACTGGGTCCCATGGGCTCAGGCATACCCTGACAGGGTGAGGTGTGGCAAGGTTGGCTAAACTGGGGATTCAGGCATGGAGCAGCCTGTTGGGAACAGGACAGCATTCCAGGTTAAAGCAGAAGTGTCTGCATGCACATGTGCTCTGCTTGGAGTTGCATGCAGGATACTGCCGTAGGGCAGCCAGCCAGCCTGGGAACCCCTAAAATTCCTGGTTATCCCCAGGTTGTTGGCAGGCTCTGCCTTAGGGCAGGAGCAAAGAGGGGAGGCAGTGGTGCAGCTTTCCATCACCACAGAGGGGATATGGAGGAAGAGGGGGTTGCTGTGTTTCCTGGTGGCAGGGGACACCTGCAGGATGCCAGTCCTGCCTCTCCCTCCTCCAGGAGAGTGTGTTGGCACTGAGAACGCTCCCAATGCCTGAGGCAGCTGCAGCCGGAACCTGAGCTGGTGTCTGCAGGCTGGCTGCGGGAGGGAGCCAGCCAGCTGGGAAAAGAGCAGGTTTTCCCCAGAGCTGGTGGGAGAAACACCCCTCCCTGTGCCATTAGCAGGCAGCGGCTCCGTTGGCAGGGTGTGAGGTGGTGGCTGCCACCCAGCCTGGCTGCCAACGGCACTGCCGGCGCTGGAACCATCACCGGGTGTCACTGCGGGGAGCAGAGTGACCAACGCTGGCTTGTGGCATCCCTGGGGTGGGCTGGAGGGATGCCCAGCACCCTGCCCAGTGCTGAGGCACAACCCCACCATGCACTGGTGGCAGGGCAACACCAAGATCCCTCCTTGCAGCCACCATGGAGGATAAGGGCATCCAAAACAGGGCGTCTTCTTACCTCTGGCCCTGCTGTGGGTCAGCAGATGGATACCCTGTGCCTGACCTCCAGACTGGTTTCCTGCTGGCCTTTGAGGACCAATCAGTCCTTCCCAAGGAGGCCAACAGGAATGTGGGGTTACAGTTTTCTGTGCACGCAGGACCCCTCAGCAGGTGCTCTACAGGCTTCACTTCACCCTTGTGTGCCACCAAGGCTATGAGGACTGCGGGGCAGGGTCCAGCTCCCTCCCCAGACTATGAGCAGGCAGCAGGGCCTGGCTCCTCCCCTGGTTCAGAGCTGGAGGCAGGGACGGGAAGTGAGGGAGAAAGGAGGAGAGAAGCTGAAAGGAGGGGAGACCCTCCTGTCCCCAGCGGGCATCACGCTGATGCCAGCCAGCTCTGGAAAAGGAGAGCATCGCCCCCAGACAGGTTCAGGGGCCGGCAGCGTCTCATCCCATTCCAGCTCTGCCTCTCCCAGCTGTGGGATCCCCACGTTGCCTTGGAAACGGGGGATTTCGAAGCAGCTTGCAGTGGTGCTGCCTGCGGTGGGGGCAGAGGCCCAGGCCCATGCCACTGCCCTGCCCTCTCTGTGCCCCCAGTCCTGCCTTTGCTGCTCCCCCCTCAGCCCTTTCCTGTGGGCAGGGGTGTGGCAACAGCCAGACCCTCCTCGGGCCCCCCCAGAGATGTCCTGTAGCGAGTGCTCTGTGCCCCCACACCGTGACTGCCCGTGCCAGAAAAAGAGAGGCCGAGCAAAGGGAAGGTATCAAATATTTATCCCTGCTGTGAATTGAGCAGCGTAGGAGAGAACGGGGCAGTCCCTCGCCACTGCTTGGGTGGTTGCAGCACCCATGGGGAGAAGCCAGCAGCCACCCCCTGCCCACAGGCCTGGCCAGCCCCAGCTGCTGCCCCTTCCCATGGAATCACAGCCCGGGGGGGCACGGCACAGATCCGGCATCGCCTCCCAGTGCTCCGTAGGGCACCTGACCTGCTCCTCTCGCCTGGACGCCGTGATCGGGCGGGGATTTCTGCTGCATTCGGGAAGCCAAGTGGGAGCCAGCGGCCTCCTCCAGCTGCCTCACTGGAGCTGCTCAGGCTCGGCTCGAGCCGTGCCCAGCCCGTTCCCGGCAGAGCCGTCACCCCGCGGGTTCAATCGCCCTGACGCCGGTCCCGTCTCGCAGGTGGCCCCGGGGACAGGCTGGTGGTGCCTGCGCCGCGCTGTCGCTTCCCATCGCGGGCCCCGTGCTGAGCTGCCCAGCCTCCCCCATTCTGCCGTGCCGCGGACGCCGCCCAGCACAGCCGACACGGGGATCGCAGTGCCCAGGGCAGCGGAGCCCAAACTGCCACCCGCGGTCTGCCAGGTCACACACCCCCCACCCCAGACAGCCCCGGGCACCTGCAGACAGGATCAGCCTTCCCTGTCCCCTGGACTGGCAAGGGCACCCCATGGGAGGGCAGCTTGGCCCCCGGCTCCCCAGGTTGGGCATTTTGGGAACCTATTGGCTACTTGACATCTGCCAGCCTGTCACGTCCTGTGGAACAGGTCCCGAAGCACAGCTGGCACTGGCCTGGCTGCCCCGTCCATCAGGTGAGGATGTGCTGTCTCACCATCCCTCAGTAACGTGCCTGGCACAGGACAGAGGTGGAAATTGTTCCTTTGTGTTTAACATCCTTCCAGGTATTTTTCCCCAGTTGCTTTCAGAGTTTCTCTGATCATCTCCTTTTGCTCTCAGAGTGGGCCGTGTTGGGTTCCCCTGGCAGCACCACATCAGTGCCCCAGTCCCACTGCCAGACTGGAGCTGCCAGAGGGTTATGGAATCTTATAAAATTGAGACAAACAGTATATTCAAACAAGATTTATTTTATAAACCAGATAAACCAATTAAAGCTTCCCTGACATTTGAATACACATTCATGGTGTCAAATGGAATTGGTGCTGCCTGACTGTCTTGAGAATTCTCAAGATTTTAGGACAGCTAACGTGGAATGTGCAATCACTCCCCAGTAAGGTGAGGACTCTCAGCCTTGAGGAGTTGCCTTGGGCAGTGTCCCACCACATGGGAAGAATCCCTGATGGCAGTCCTGCTGCTCCAAGGGGGATGGGCTCCACTGACCCCCAGTGGGGCTTGTGGTCAGATCGTGGAATCACAGACTGGTTTTGTAAAAGGACCTTAAAATTCATGTCATTCCACATCCCCTGCCATGGGCAGGGACACCTTCCACTAGCCCAGGTTGCTCCAAGCCCCATCCAACCTGGCCTTGGACACTTCCAGGGATGGGGCAGCCACAGCTTCTCTGGGCAACCTGTGCCAGGGCCTCACCGCCCTCACAGGGAAGAATTTCTTCCTAATTTCCAGTCTACCCTGCCCTCCTTCAGCTCAAGGCCATTCCTGTTTGTCCTGTCCCTCCAGTTCCTTGTCCAAAGTCCCTCTCTATCTCTCTCGGAGCCCCTTTAGGCACTGACAGGAGCTCTAAGGTCTCCCTGGAGCCTTCTTTTGTCCAGGCTGAACAGCCCCAACTCTCTCAGCCTGTCTCCAGAGCAGAGGGGCTCCAGCTCTCTGTTCTGTCAGCTCTCCCTGGCCAGCATCTGACCTTCTGTCTCACCACAGCTGCCACACAGAGGTGACAGGGTCACCTGCCCAGGGGCAGCTAGTGCTATGGCTGGGATCAGTGTCTGGAGGGCCTCCATCCCTGCTGGGGTGGGTGCTGCTGCCACAGGGATCCCGGGGAAAACCTCCCCTCACTGCCCACCTCCTGCCCGTACCTACCTCCCGGTGAGGCTCTGACCCTCCTGACAGAGGGGTGCAGTGTTTTGCAAATGCTCAGAAAGGTCTTTCTAGAGCTTCAAAATTGCTCTATGCTGACCCAGTCAGAGCTGTCGTCCCCCCTGCCGTGTCCCTGTGGTCCCCACCAGCCTCCCTGTCCCTGTTCCTGACCACATGTCCCTGTCCCTCTGTCTCCTGGTGTGACATGAGGTTTGGGGCCAGAAGAGCCCCTGCCCAGCAGGTTTGGGGACTGGCCTCTGCTGCCCTGCCAGGCCCCACCAGGGTCAGCATCCCTGAGGCAGGCATGGGGGGGGCCCTGTGTTGGGTGGCCCCTTCCTGCTCCGAGTTGCACCAAGGGGCACGGGGGGCTGGATCAGGGGATCTGATGTCCTGAGCGTCAAATCTCACACTGAGCTCTTGGCATGGCCCCAGCTGGTCCTTGAGGAGGGCTGGTGAGACACCCCCCACCCATCCTTGCAGCTGTGTAGGACAGATGTCAGCCCCCCACGTCCCCCCAAGCTGAGATCTGCCCTGCTTGAAGTCTGGCCAAGTGCCCAGCATCACTACAGACCCACACAGGTGACCTGTGGGCACACTGTTCCTCCGTGCCTCAGTTTCCCCCTTGGACAGAGCCTTGCAGAATTGAGTCTGTCACATGCAGACACACTGACGAGGGACACACTGTCAGGGCTGCTGGGGAAACTGAGTCACAGGGACACAGTGCATTGTGGCTCTGCTCCCTGTGGGGCTTGGGGAAGGACCCAGCACCGAGGAGGCAGAGACCCCTGCAGAAAGGGGAGTTTACCCCCACACGGGCCCAGCGTGGCTGCTCCTGGTCCTAATGACCAGCCAGGGCAGGGCAGCACAGCCACGCACTCCACACACAGGGACAGGAGCTGCTTCTGCTGGGGACAGGCATCAGGGTGGCCTTTTCCTTGTAGGATTGTAGGAACAAGCCCTGGCTCGTGGTATCCCTCTGGCCACTCATGTGTCCCTTCCGGGCAGGACAGGGCCCCTGGCAGCTCGGCCAGGAACAAGCCTGGACCCGCCCAGCCACGGCGAGGGCCCAACACCCCTGTCCTCTGCAAGGAGTAAGGGACAGGCCCATCCCTCCCCGCAGAGCTCTGCTGCCCATGTGGCTGTGCCAAGGGGATCCCCTCCATCTGAGGGGCTGCCATCCCTGTGGGCAGTGGGCACAAGGTGGGGGGCAGCTCCCTCCCAGCCACTCAACCATTCTCAGCACTTGAGGCTGGGCTGGAGCTGTCCCCCCAGCCCAGGGTGTCACAGCCCAAAGCAGCAGTGTGGCCCAGTGCTCGGGGAAGGTGACAGCTCTGAGCA